ACATCGATTCCATCGATAGCCGAACAGGGTGCAATCGCGCTGGCTAAGCTAGATAGTCGCAAGGAGTCAATATACAGTGACTTCAAGGCGGCCATCAAAGGCTACGAAACTGGGATGGTAGCCCCTCAAGACCTCCGCATTCTCCAAAGCGTCGAGAGTATCACGCCCCATTCTTTCACTTGGTTTCCCGCTCACCTGGGGTCGATTGAGGGTTCTACCTCTACCCCCAACGAGGACGCACACGAGGCTGCGCGAGGACTAACTAACCGCGCCGCCTCCGCAGCGCCTCTGCCTAACTGGGAACCCTTACTTACGTTCAACGAAATAACGAAGCACCTCTATCTGTCAAAAACAGTATTCCCCTTCCCAAACCTTGCATGCGCAGGGAACAGGCAGTTCCTTTTAGACTATTGCAAGTCAGTGTGCATCCTAATCCTGTGGTTCTTCATGCCATGTACCCTGAATGGTATCCCAGTGCGGATTGCCTCACCTGTAGACTGTTAGCAACATTCAACCATGTGTTGTGGGAATGTGAAGCCATTGGCTCCACCTTCAGCGAGGACAAGTGGGCTGCGCTCTTACGCAGACCCGAAGTTAACGATGAAACTCTGGCCGTCCAGAGTGCCCGTGAATGGGCCGCCAAGCTCGGCTTGACGGTCCCTATACGTGGGATTAGCCAGGTGGCTCGGGGTCTCCCCTGCGTCTTCACAGGAACAAAAGAAAGTTTTAATCAATCAATCAATCAATCAATCAATCCTTTTTTCATATGTGCCACCCTAATACAAGCTAAGTTCGTGCATAACCAACTCGCCCAAGCCACAACACTCCTGGAGATCGCTAAAAGGATAGTCCGCAACAGAAAAAACAAAATGTATCAAGCTTGAAAGCAATACTAATATGCTGAATCTGCATGCTTGTTATTGCATATTTGATTATCGAACCAACTAATCACACATTGAGCACTTGCAGAGCATTTCAAGCGCCATTAGAGAGAACAAGAGTGCGAGGCAGCACACCTGCGCTATAATGAAAAGCACACGGTGTATAGATGAGACATCTAGTGAAGCGCACAAGATAAGTATAACACGCAACCATCAGTATTTGTCTGTTCTGAGAAGAATAGCGTTTACGCACGCCGCTTGGCGTTGTGTTGTCGACCTAAAGATAGCGTTATTACTGATATCACTGCAAAGGTACACTTGCTCGGTTACCACCGATACCTTGCCGGATTTTTCGACAATATCGAAGTCATGATGTGGCTGAACAACAGCTTGAAAGAAGCGCAAAATATTTAAATATATTTCACTACTCTTATTCACCCGTAAAATAAAAGATGACCCGTAAATAAAGGCTTACTTAATTATGCCACAAGTATGTATTGTTGTGACTGGGATTTGCGGCCCCGGAGATCCGGGATCAAAATGTCGAGGCAGGAGGAAGTTGAACTTCGTAGAGAGGGTTTATTTACATAATAACATGGCACGGGCTCTCTGGCCCGAAGCTTTACATTGAAAGCTCTACATTGCAAAAAGGCTGTCTATTGAACAAGCTTCGTGAACCACACTAAGCAGCACGCGAGGGCTGACTAAATACAGTCTCATCTCCCCAGATTCCTAGATCGGGAAAAAGGTCCATACGGGTACTGTCCAATAACATGTCCTACAGCACACACGAGTATCATTATGCCGCCACCACCCCCAACAAACACATGTACACAAACCAAACACGTGTATGGTCCCGGCGATGCTGCCTCCTCCAGCGAATCTTGCTTCCAGCGAGTGGGGTGAAACGTGTTTGTCATCTCGCAGTTCGCGCCGACCACCCAAGCTTTGTAGAACGGCGATCATGGTCTGGGCGCCTCCGAGTGGCCATACCTGGGCATCTGGTATTGATTTGAGCGTCGGCGGCTGATCAGTCAGACACGCACAGTGTGGTGGTCCGACGTCGGTAATCGGCGGAAGCTCTGCATTGTGGCTTTTACCGGGGCACGAAGACGCCACGTGTCGCATCTCTGCGCGGACCCGAAGGACAGCGGTGCTCCGTAGAGTAATTTCAGCCACGCAGTGCCCAGCACATGGAAACAACAGGGCGTCTTGGCGCTGCTCCTTATCTCCACTCAATGAGGTGGCTGCCTTTCTTTCATTCTGGTGGCCGCGGCAAAAAGGTGGCCTGCCAAACGCAGCAGTACGAAGGTGGAACAAACTGATAAGAAGGTAGCTACATTTCATTTATCACGAATAGATTCTGGATTCATATATTATGTGCAAAAGGGCGCAAACTTGCTGCAAGTGTAACATTCCTGGCACCAGGCATTGAACCCACGTGCACTACAGTGAAATCGAGCCACGCAAGACCACAAATGCGATAAGAGATTTGGAGGTGTGACTTTCTTTTCACTTTTGTATTGCGTACTTTGTTGACGCCATACTGTACAACACGTAATGCCGGCGGCCTCCCCTTTCTTCCTTGCGAAAATGACCTCAAAAACTGGATTTATTACAAAAGGCTTGAATGCCAACATGACACAAGTCCTTTGCTTATTCCCTTCTCTTAAAAAACTTCAAAGTGGTAACGAGAGTCATTTTTCGAAAGATGACATAAAAGAAACATTGCGCGCAGTGAGAAAGAATCGTTGTCTTATACTGTCGATGCAAAAGAAGTTTACGAAAATGTGGACGTTATTACTCAAAAATTTCCCAAGTGTTTTTTTAACTCTGGTGGGAGGTTTCACTTAAAATGTGCCTATACTTTCAGTACACTTCAAATATACGAATGCTTGTTACGGAGCTTCGCTTTTTGTGCGCTCCCGTTTGCTTCTTTTGGGGGCGAAGATGCCTAAACTGATTTCGTAGCTGTAAACACTCACTGTGTGTGATATGTAAGCAGGCCAGACAACAACCTCGAAGTTTCTGCTCGCTGAGTTATAGTGTATACAGCTGGGGTAGCCAATGCGAAATATTACTTTTTGTTTGCTTTTATTTAGAGCTATATCTGTCATTTAAGAATGCAGCGAGGGCTCCGCCAACACGTAGTGGTAAATGATACGAATCTATTGGGCCTTCCGCAAAGAGAGGATTACGACCTGCAGTGAAAAATGGCCTTCTCTTGCTAATCCTGCATTATCAAAAAATAAATAAAAGTCGGCTGCAAGCGACCTAAAAACAAGTGATAAATATTCTAGGGACGTGTGGTTCCTGCAATATGTTTTGCTATAACAATGAATATAAGTTTCGCAGCAGGTGCACAATGGTCATCCTGGACTTCTTCATTAACTGGAGAAGATTTCTATGCTGCTTTCCACAGTGCCTCTTTTCTTATCTGTATTTCAAAGCTATTAAGAATGATACTGCCAGCTCTACAAAGCGTAAATATTGCTCAACACTCGTATCTAAAAAAATTTCTATTATTGTAACATTTATTAAACACGTTTCGCACTATCTGGAATTGGACAAAAAAAGAACAAATGTATTTTACATGTTATATGCTTAACATACCATATATTAATACAGATACATTCATTTGATACGTTCATTGTTTCTTTCTTTTGTTTTATGTGATAGCAATTTCTGGCGAAAGCAGCAACCTTAAAAATGAGTGTCCCCGAGAACAAATGAAACGTCCCACACTTTGAGTACATTTACGAGAAAAACTGAAGATGGCTGAAGTTTACCTGAACAACTTGTGTGTTTTTTTGGGACGTCAAACATAATAAAATGAGTGATTTAGGCGCATGCATTCAATGTTTGAAATCACTGCAAAGATAAAAAACAATAATTTGTCCTGCTATAAACTACTGTATTACTTCTGGAGCTTTGATTATTTACAATTTTCACATGGTTGTTGGACAAAGAACACCAAATGGCATGTGTGGTAAACGGCTGGAAACGCTTGGAGTTTTTCTGACAGCACGTTTCATCTGATATCAGTGACTACCAAAGCGAACACACGTACTCGTGGCAATAAAGTTTACCTAGACCTTCGGTGTAGTTACTGCTACACCAAACTAAAATGGCCTGATTGTCTTTCTACGGGACAATAACCCGCGAAAGAACACCATTTTAGAATTTCCGTGATAGCACTCGGCACCATTCCTGTCTCTTCGCGTCTCCAGTGTGCGCAGAGAAGTAACAAATACACGCGGATGCATGTCAAGGGTACTGCATGCCGTCCGGAATTTCTTTTATCTACTGTGTCTTCAAAACACTAGCATTGCTGACATGCTAGAGATGATGCAGGGCACGCGTTCACTGCACAGTGTTATCAAAGTGTACCGCCACGGGAAGCGGGACATCCTTGATACAGTGTACAATCCCAGGAGGTTTTGTTTTTGTAATACCGGCGCTCGTATGAGCACGCGCACCTACCGCCAGGAGCCGGGGTTATCTGTTAAGATCACAGGAACGACGTGGCAAGTGTCCTGTACCCGGTCGAGCTCATGCCAGTGCCACAGCTTCAGGGTTCACGCCGGCAACAGCTTTCCAGCGCTTCCCTGAGCACTGATGAAATCGCATGCCAGCGCGCAGAAAGGCTAGGACGCGGCCAGGGCAGTTTCCTCGTTCCGCGTGCTCTTCTCACCCGCCTAGGCGTTGTTCAGCCTCCCTAGTGCCTCTCCCGCACGGCAAAGTTTATAGCTTTATACAAGCCATGGATCCGCGCCGAAATCATCGGATATCGACACCGTCAGTGCCGCTGGGCAATCATCGGCCACTATAGGCTTCGAGTGGCGACAAAGCGTTTCACTTTTCTAGAAACTAGTCCGGACTGCGGGAACTGCTATTCAAAACACGTAAACACTTGTCTCCGGACGCTATCGGAACCCCCGCGAGGCACCTGTCGAAAAAGAGTCAAAGCAGAACAAAACAAACAAAAAAGTCAATCGGAGAAGTGTCGTCACATGTGGCCTGGGACCTGGGTGCCAGGAGAGAGAATTTTTCCTCGCCAGGCGACAGTATAAATTTGTCGTCGAGAAGCGTGAGAGCGCCAGTCAGTCGACAGCTGTGGCTACGAGGGGTCCCCGGCCATGAATGCACTCGTAAGCGCACAACGTGAACATGCTGTTTGGTCGTATATACAGTCTTTTATAACACGAACACTTCTTCTGAAGCTGTTGTTAGTCTTTCCCACGATCACGTAACGATTTTGACGTCTGATGGCGACAAAAGAAGAGCTGACACTTCTTTCGCCGCCTACAGAACATTGGCGTTTTTTTTACTAATCAACTGGTTACTTTGCATGCATTTTTTGGACAGGAGGGCAATCAGGCAATGTGCTTGAAGAGCCTTTCGTATTTCTATTTTACCCATAATGGTAGCATGGCAGGCATATAGGCTGCTTTTTGTAAGCACTTCGTACAGTTTAGCAACGCGTTAGCACTATGAACATGTTTCTACTCTTCTGATAAGTGAATCATACAAAGTAAATGAAAATTTGAGCAGTGAACTAACAGAAAATAACGTTGGTGCCATATACAGGGTGCCCCAGATATCTTTGGCCAGAGTTTCAATATATGCCGACACACGCAATTACGGCGCGACCAAATGCATGTTGCTGACCGTTCTCTGGAGTGAATGTGTGAATTATTGGTGTTCTTTTGCTATAACATATACCCACTAAATCCAAACATACCGCTCTACAAACCCACTGGCGTACCTTCGTGCGCCGTGATTCTTGTGCTGTCTAACGTTGCACGTATGAACGATACGCTTCCTTCGCAGCGGTTCATGACAGTAGTAAGCAGTCACAGTGGTTATCGCTTTTGTGGCCGATAGCGAAACGTGTTCGTCACAAAGCCGCAACCATCGTTGGTGCCCAGTCAAGACAGCCAATCAGACAAATGCTATGGTCGTTCTTACGGGAAACGTTATGAAGCACTAACGTTATGAAGACCATGCCAAATGGCTCGCGAGCGGGCTTGTCACGTGATAATTTTCTTTTGCATTTTGCGGGCATTTGCAGTTAGTAGAAAAACACTAAAAATTAACAGGCATAAAGCTCAAAACTGTCTAAAAAGATGCTTCGCATACCGATGAACAACTTTTTTATTAGAATGTTCGGCACATTTTTGTTGCTCAAAAAGTTGGTTAATATGTGACCTAATTAGGCAATTAATCAGAACACAAAGTAAAGTCTGACTCACTCCGGGAAATAGTCAGTAACCTGCATTTGATCGCATCGTCATTGCGAGTGTTGGCCTATTTTGAAACTCTGGCTAGAGAGTTGGGACACCTTGTATAACTCAAACGCCGTAAATTTAGATTAGTTTAAGTATATATAACAGCTTTGCAGCCTCCCAGATACTTATGAAGCCACGTGTGAAAGAGGAACAAGCTTATATAAATTAGGTTTTTAGTGCATTCTTATGAAGAATACATTGAGCTAGATTTGACGACTTCCCACTTGATAGCTTAGACAAGGACTTGCTTTCAGGCTTCCAAATCGACATTGTTTAGCGCAGCTGAAGGTATCACTTCACAATCCAGATAAATATTCCTTTTCTACTGTTAAAACTTGGCTTATCCGCAGGTGATTTTGACCATCTCGCTGGTCACCCGTGTCTTCGCTGGAAACCTTGGTGGTGGAGCCGGTGGCTTGGGACCGGCTGGAGCAGAGCCCGGAGGCCCGTTGCTTAATGGAGGCGTTGGTCTGGGTGCTGGGCTTGGTGTTGGCGGTGGTGGCCTCGGTGATGGTCTTGGAGGTGCTCTAGGACAGGCTCTTGGAGGAGGCTTTGGTGGACCTCTTGGCGCGGCACTCGGTGGTGGTGTGCAAGCTTTGGCAGGCCCTGCTGTTACCACAGGACCAGTGTCCGTTGGTGCCCCAGTGGCCGTAAGCCGGACAGTGTCCATACCAGCACCGGTGGCGACACCCGTGGCTACAGTATCGTTCCTGAAGCAACCCGTGATACACCTTAAGTATGTCACAAAACCAGTGGTGAGCTACGTACGGCAGCCAGTAGCCACCGTCCACCACGCCATTAGACCTGTGGTGCATGTCACACACGCCGTGGCTGCACCAGCTATCGCCGCCACGCCAGCTGTGGCTGCTGCGCCGGCCGTGCTTGGGGCACTGGGCGGACCAGCGTTCGTTGGGGGGCTTGGTGGCGTCGGCCTAGGTGGTCTTGGAGGAGTGGGACTGGTGGGTACAGGCCTCGGCAACACAGGTCTGGGAGGCCTGGGTCTTGGGGGCCTAGGTCTAGGTGCTGGAAGTCTGGGTCTCGGAGGTGGACTCGGCGGCGTCGGAAATGGTGTGGTAGTCAAGGCCAAGCATCTGAAGTCTTAATGACTGTGGAAAGCACAAGTGCAACTTATCTGGATCCGAGTTGGTGCGTTTCGAAAAGACCAGACTGTTGCTGAGTCTTCCGCTGGTCATGTCGGAAAACTGAAGTGATTTGCTGTGGTTATAACAGCGAACATTTTCATAAACGTGTACAAAGCTAACTAATTAAACATTGTGCGATATTGTTGAAAATCAAATGACTACACTGCAGAATACTAAAACGTCTATTATAGCACGCAACGAAGGTTCACTTGTGCAGAAAACACAAATAAGTGTGGAAAGGAAGAAAAAAGACGTGAAGCCTAAAAGTTGACGTCATATTTGGTGCACACTGTTCTTCTGTTATAATTGTGGATATGAGTCAAGGTTCTTACTTGTTTTCATGAGCAACAGTGGGACATTGGATTTTACATTATGCTGCTGAGAATTAGGCTGAGAATTGAGTTATATGTCTTTGAAGACTAGATACTTCAAAAATGCCATCGCAAAGAAAAATGGGTGCCGTATGACGGACATGAGATGGAAATATTAAAAAGCCATGAAGTTAGGCGTACTTCGTAACGTAAGCGTGACCGGGAGGCATTAAATGCTAGACGAGCGCAATTATTTAATCAAATAAATCTGAAACCTATCGCTACGGTCTCACTGGTAGGACACGTGTGTGTAACTAGAAGATGTTTTACGGCACCAGCAACAAAATCCTTCCGTTCAGATTGCTTTTGTTATGATGCTAGCTGTAGTTTTTTCGCTCAGCTAATTAGTGCTACAGTCACAAATATATATATAAAAAACTGAATGGTTCATCTATGCATTAACCTATAAATGATCTACGTTCTTGGTAATTTAAAATAGTTTAATTAGTTTTCAAAAGGTACCTGAAAGAATAAAATAACGTGTTTGACATAGAAGTATTGGAATATTGGCTAAGTATTCGATAAAATCAGGTGAAAAAATTGGTGGCTTAAAAAAGGGGCCTAGCATTTCAGACTATACGGGCAAACAAAGGGTCAAATGGGTAGAGAATTGACAGCAAAAGTATAAACTAAGCGCCTGGACATTAGGGAGGGGCTGAGGAAGAAAGAAGAGGAGGAAGCAGATAGGCAGAGGGCAGGCATGTTCACCGAAAAGTGTCTGCTTGGTTACCCTACAAGAAAGAAATGCGAATACAAATTCCAAGCTGGTAAACACCTGAAATCTATAGATAAATTACTAGCCCACTTGAAATCACGAGCTCCAATAGTAAGTCATGATTAGTAGTCGTCAAAGAAGGAATGTCACATGAGTCCAACTTTCGAAAAAGGAACTGCCTTCTGATTGTAGAGGCAGCAACATTTTTCCTTGGCAGTGTTTTACTCATTGGTACAATATTCTTCTGCCTTCTCTATTTGAGTGGAGGCGTAGAAAAATCAGACTAGCAGATGCGCAGAAAACCTAGTACTCTGACAAAAGCAAACCTTGTTCCCAATCGTTGGTTACAAAGACGTTCTTTCGGCAAATTCGCATCAGAGCAAGTTTCCATGTCCCCTTCTTCTTACTGCACGGAACAGTATAAGGGCTGGCACTCCAGGAATGTCTGCGATGCAGGCGGTCAGAAATCAAGCCCGACCACCAAGGGATCACAGTAGTGCCAAGTAAGTGTGTCATCCTATTGAATGTAGAAATGGAAGAGATATTAGGAAAGCGATGCGTGCGCTGAAAACGTGGAGTGCGCGACGAAGATTTTGAGGCGTTATTCGCAAGCACACTGGGCGCCCACGTAGAGTGCCAATTTTCACAAAAGAGAACACGGGAGCGCGTGTCCTACGCACTCTGGCGGTTCTTGGCAGCTCGTTTAAGCGGGAGCGAAAGCAACCACGGCCTCTTTTCCCGTCATCTCGAGGCGAGTAAATCATTCAGTAATACATGATACTGTTATGAAACAAGCGACAAGGCTTTAACCCCTTCACCCTTCAAGATGATTGCGCAAAAGGCCTGTAATCACCTTGAAGGGTGATGCAATCTTGCCTCTGGTTTCAAGTCATCAATGACTGCTTGTTGTGATCACCTCGAGATGACACGAAAAGAGGCCGTGGTTGCTTTCGCGCCCGCTTAAACCTGTTCTATGCGCTGATTGATTGATTGTTTTATGGGGTTTAACGTCCCAAAACTACTATTTGATTATGAGAGACGCCGTAGTGGAGGGCTCCGGAAATTTTGACCACCTGGGGTTCTTTAATGTGCACCCAAATCTGAGTACGTGGGCCTACAACATTTCCGCCTCCATCGGAAATGCAGCTGCCAAAGCCGGGACTTGATCCCGCGACCTGCGGGTCAGCAGCCGAGTACCTTAGCCACTAGACCACCGTGGCGGGGCACTGTTCTGTGCGCTAGCCACACAGCCGCAGCTCACGTACCGGCACACCTGCCGCACCCAAGCAGAAAGTGAAAGAGCGTCGCCAAGTGGCTGATTTGTCCCCTTCTTGCGTGTGGCAAGGGTCCTGGTACGCGCGTTGCGGCAGTGCCGGTAGCGCGTGGAACGACCCTTTAACGTGCTGCGAGCCGCCGCCTCAGCGTCACAGGCCACGCGGTGCCGTGTTCCCTTTCATAAAATTTGAAAGTGTTCATCTGCTCTTATCAGCTTTTACAGCGTTAGCAATTGTGTTGCGTAACGTTCTTTTGCATAAAAAGGTGACTGAAGGACTGGGTTGGTTAATATTGCGCCACATTTTACACACACACACACACACACACACACACACACACACACACACACACACACACACACACACACACACACACACACACACACACACACACACACACACATACACACACACACAAGTGATTTTTCAAAACGCAATCTATGTAATGTTTGTGGTGATTATTAGGCATCAAAAATCCTCGCGAACTGAGATCTATGGGAGGAGAACGTTTGTTGGGTGATTGGTTTTTCAGAGGTGAGTGAAATCCACGCATTTTGACAAAGTGAATCATGACGTAGACACTAAGTCTGAAGGTCCATTGTGTCTACGTTGAGGTAACCGACTACTAGAAAGTGTTTGGCTTGTAGGTGTTATATATTGTTCTGTCACAATTTTGATTCATATTAGCCTACTGTTAAGCTGTGTTTGTGCCTCACGTATGTTTCGACTGCGGCCGTGCGTACAGACGCCAAAAGTGGCGCGAGTATCGGCCCCTCAAGGTGCTTCACCTCTAATAGTTGTCTTGAAAGATAAATAGTAGAGGTTCGCCTGGTTCAGGTAGAAAAGCACTTGTGCATTTCTATAGCTGCCTCGTTAAAACGAGAGAGCGGAGAAAGTTGAGGAACAGAAACCCCGACAGTGAGGAGCACCAGCCTGCCGGGATTGCAGAAAACTTACCATTAAAGTGCTGATAGAGCGTAGGTCAGCCACTGTGGTTGTGGCGATGAGTGCAGGCCGAAGTTTAGGCAATGAGGGAGCGTTGTTTTGGCCCCAAAATTAGGCTTGCAAAACAACATTTTAGGCACTGAAATTGTGCCAAAAATACATTCCAGTCCTGCAACGCTGTAATAATCAGAGCACAAATATTTTTTACGTGAATGCAAATAATCTTTGAATAAACACGTGTGACATCCGTATGTATGACAAAAGAGCGAAAATATTCTTGTTTATGATGACACGAAAGCGCCAACAGTTCAACATATCTATGCAGTTGTACTTTTTCTCGCACAGTTCACGGAATACGGTCTTTTCTTTCATTCTTCATTGTGGCGGGTCAGGTGTCCACTTTGGAATCAACACAGCCACGGGTCTAGTTATTTTTCGCATGGATGAGGAAAGCAGCACAGGTGTAGAAAGCGAAATTGCGAAATATCGACATACAAAATACCGGAATAGAGAAATACCTTGTTTTGACCGAGTCTAAGTGCTTATAGTGCGTGGCTGGTGAACACCTCACTCGGTCAAAACCAAATAAAAAAGGCGTGCTCATCAAAAAGTGCAGCAGAGCGGTGATTTTATTAAGGTTTGCCGCGTGTCGTAGATAGAAAAGTATTCTGTCGAGATATGGCATGCACTCTCTGCATTTTCCTTGTCGTCATCCTCTCAGCTTTCTCTTGTGCATCGCTTATAGATCACGCTTGTGACAATTAGTCAAGCGTGGAAGGCAATAACTACGTAGTACGAGAGATACTACAGACAAAAAATAAAAAAAAGATAGAAACGAAGAGAAAAGGAGTACTTTCTTGCAAGAAAAACTATGCTGCTTTCTGAAATTTTTAATTGTTCACCCTCAACCCAAAAGCGAGCGTTCTAAGTACTCGGCCGTACTGCCACGCTGGGCGAGCATAGTACGGCATTACATAGCATAGTGGAGCAACGCGGTGGGAAATGGAAAACAGGGTGAGGCTTGTCGGGGTTCGAAAATGAAGAAGGCGAATACATAGAGAGAGCGGGAAAGATAAAAGGGAAGAAACAGAGGGGAAAAAAAGGTGAAAATCCAACTAAAAATAGTCAGATAAGAAATACTAAGAAAGAGAAATAACAGAAAAAGAAGGAAAGAAAGAGAGAAATAAAGACAGACAGAAAGAGATAGAAGTCAATTGGCAGAGAATCTGAGAAAAAAAAAGTGAAAGCGTAGTCACGCATAATAGTGCAAGTATGGTTCTCCGTGTGGGGCGGAAAGAAAATTCTCATCGTAATGAACCAGCACTCAGCATCTTTGGTCATCTTTGATATCTTAGTCTTCCCTCGCTCAACACGTGTGCTCATTTGTCCGGCATTCTCCAATTCGTAACGTTTCTTCGTAACGTTTCTCTGACTTCGTAAAGTTTCTCTCAATGAAAAAATACAACAAAGTCACGTTTCATCCGCATGCTTCGCATTACATTGATTACCAAGGTACGTCGCGTTTGCCGCATTTTTTTTTAAATTTTGACCTTCCCTCTTCTTTTCCCAGAGAGCCTTACGGCTTTCAATCGTTTCGCATTCGCCTCTCGTGCCATGTCAGCGTGGCATCTAGTAGTGGACGCGCTTCCCGTTTCAAAAACGCCAATGATGTTTTCTTTTCTCTTTTGCATAAGGTGATTTCACCAGAAGAGTGGGATGAACTACACAAAATGTCGAACAGCAAATGTTGCGTGGTAACACGAGTAACACCCTCAAGCTGTTTTCGGCAGTGAAATTTGAGGTTTTTGGTGTTCCTATAAAGGCACCAATTTTTTGAAACAAGCATTTAT